CATTTTATTCGACTTAAAACCAACAATATTGACCAAACATAAAATACAGACAAATTTAATTTCTCTATGTTTATAAATTGCGCTAAGTCTGTCCCAGCTACCTCAGGAAACAGCCTTTTCTATAAACTGTCAAACTTTTTTTACTTTCTTCACAATTCATAGCTATTGACACAACATTTTAACATTAGGAGTTAGAAAACAAGCAAAAACAAAATACAATGTGCTTTGACCATAAACATTTTGTAAAAATAAAGCTTTTCAAATCATTTTAATGTACTTCAAATAGATTAACTCGAATAGCTACTTCAGCAGAGATGCGATCAAGTACTGGTTGCTCATACGCCATGGTGTACCTACACCCTACTCGTGGGTACAATACTTATAAGACAAGAGCATTCGTACAGATATCAATGCCACTTATGTGACATAATACAGGTACTACTTCACTGCTAATATTAGTGTAGCGAGTGTATCGTAGGCAATGCTGCATTATCCTCACAATTGTAGCGCTGATGGTGCATTTCACATAATATTTGCAAATAATCTTGAATTTATCCGCCAACACGAAAATGTGACATGGCCTCACATTGGAGTGGATTTTTTGTTAAAAGCGGCTTCAATGCCTAACACAGCAATTATTTGCGCTCGATTGCAAAATCGTCCAGCTGTGAAGAGTAAAAAATGTTGTAAAAGCAACGTAAAGCAGAAGCACGCAGAGCAACATTTCTCGAACAGCGTTACATACAGTGGTACATGCATAAGTTTTGAAATTTATTTAATATTACGGTTCGCAATTAAAGTAAATACAAATTTTTTTTTTTAAACTCTAGTCTGCGAAATCTCGGCAAGCTTTACTGGCTAACCAGAATGGTGAGGCTGTGGTATGCAGCAAGAGCTGTCAAAAGTTAAAGTATTCAAAATGCTCCCGTGGTTGTAGTGTATTATTGCTGATGTAGCTAGCGAAATAGCTTGTGGCTGTGGTAGTGCATTCTGGTTAGCCAGTTATAGAGGACCAGCCTACATTGTGTGCCTCGCTAGACCCAAAACCAATTTCAAGATACAATTCCAGTTAAGTGTATGGAAAAATATGTTATTATCAGGAACAAATTGCAATGCTTATGAATAGACGATAATTTTGCCAGCCCATCTGGTGCGTGAAACACTGAATCGATAGTTTACCAATCCGTCAATATGCATCAAATAACAGTTCAAATAGTTGGAAAGACTTTTGTTATTCTAGCACAAAAGTCTTAGAAACAAAGCTCCCTCATTCACCAATCGTGGTGAGAGAAAGCACTTGTGTATCAATTAGCTCGCGTCGGACAGTGGGGCAAAAAAGGCTCCAGTGGCCAAATCTATTTTGAGAGCACAAATATGAACCGATTTCAAGCTTCTTTTTCATAATAAAGGATAATTAAGTTTCGCGTTGATCTATCTGTCGGGATTTTTTAAAAATGCTCTGGTCATTTATTTATTTATGTTCAAAAATTAAAGAAAAAATTTTACGTTTGAATGCTTCCACCTTTTTGGAAAATATTTGAAATTAATTTCAAATGTCTGCAATTAATTAAAAAATTAGTTGCCAGAATAGGCAACTGTCTTACGAAAGGTGCTGGTGAAGGTGCTAAGTGAGATGCTGATAATTATTACACAACATAGAAGAAGAGCTTGGTCTGCATGCTCAACTCAAATTTTATAGTTTTTGGATAATCACAACAATATTGATGTAAATGAGCGATATGTATGTACTACATAGTACTATATCATTATATATGCACATGCGTGCATGTAATTTTTCAAGCATTCGAGAAGATTGTTCCTTTCTTCGCAAACTTTCCAATTAACCCAAAGGCATTTCTCATTCAAACAAGAACACATCGCACACTGTCTTCAAAAGAGTCACAACTCAAAATAATACGTTTGTCAGAAAATGCGAAAAACTATTTCTTAGCACATGATAATCATATGGGCGAGGGCGACTTTACCTTAGGTTTTTTAACAAATTATCATAAAAATTTGCTTCAGCTTTTGCTGAAAGGTAAATAAAAGCTCTGCGTACATTTTTAGTGCATAATCCCAAAAATGCCAAATTTTGAGTTGTGACTCTTTTGAAGACGGTGTCCGACATGTGCCATTACATGAAAGATACCAGAAGCACTGAATGCCAGCTGTGATTACAGCGAAAATTCCCGAATTAATTGAAATAGTTGAAGTTATTAACATACACTTACAGCCGAGTTATACCGAATGAAGACAATGAAGAGGGAACCAATTAAATCATCTCGTAAAATGTCAATCATTTCCATCAAGTTGACGCCAGCGGCAGTTACTAAAAATCGCAATAAACGCGCATTTGATGATTTTTGCTAAGGGATTTTTCACCAAACAATAGACGACTACATAGAAAACAATTTAATTAATTCCACTCACATTTACTTCGCCCTTCTCAATTAATGGTTGTCACATGTGGTGGAATAACAGATCGAATCCACCAATATGAAACCAGAAATGAATTTAGGACCACGACTAGTTCTCGTTTAAGCTCTTTTTTCTTATACGCGACTGATATATCGCTAGCTTAGAGTGAATAGTTGCTAAGTCCACTTTTTATGAAAACTCATCTTTTGAACTCATCTTTTCTAAAAGCATAAAGGTCATTGTTATATATTTTCTCGCTTATATTTAATGAAAGGAAAATTTGATAAGCCAAAAAAATCTCCGAAAATTCGATTAGGCAAAATGTTTTATTCAAAGTATTGCGAAATACTTGAAGAAAATGGCTATAAGAAGTTTTTTCTTCTCCTGTTTAAATTGGGACTTAGCAACTTTTCACCCTAAGCTAGCGATACGTATTTGCCGAACGATTATATATTTTTGTAATGGATCGAAACCAGAGACTTTATAATTCGTTCAGATTTTCTCTGGTTTCAGGTTTTTCGAAATCGAAGGAAGTCGAGAAGTTACCGACAACAGCGTATATAGTGGTGTTTTATACGTTCCAGTTACATAGTACTCTTTCTACTGGTAAATGCCTTTTTGTGCCTGTCAATGTTCTGTAATTAGGTATCATCCTTTTGTTAAATGAATTTTGGCCGACTGAAAACATATATATAATAACATTCAAAAAGTAACTAGTTCATTGCCGGAGTGTAAGTACTTATGTATATATGTATGTACATTGTAACATCCCTGCAAAAATCTCGACTACTTCATGCAGGCATGCAAAGAGTACTCCCTAAGGGCCAATGAGTACTCCAAAATTAACCAAAATACATATAAAGAATATAGTCAAATTAACATTGCGATTTCCACACTCTCCACTACTCCACTACTCTTACCGACACAGCCCAATAAGCATCGTGTAGGGATTATGATCGCTAAAACACGAGCAATTATTGGGTAACAATAAGGTGGTATTGACACAAAAGTTGGTTTGCTACTGCATTACAGAGGAGCATTTTGTAAGTACTCCAATATGATACAAATGAACCAAAGATTGTTGCAGGCATATTCCATTGGATGAAAACTCACACATACCAATGCCATTACAAAGTTGCTAGTATCGACCGCATAAAATACGAAAAGAGTGATGATTTGAAAATGTTAATGCGAATTTCTTATTATGCAAATCGTTTGAAGTGCCCCACTGAATATTTTATGTGCCTCACATTGCCATGCGTAATATTTTTTTTTGAGATTTTCAACTTAATTGAGATTTTATTCATACACATATAATAACTGGAAAAATAATGAGATCGTGAAATTTTTGCCAGTTTTCGGTACTTTTAGTTTGCTTATTTAATGTTTATTAATTTTTTTATTAAAGTCTAGCTCATTATATACCTAACACCTTATAAATCCACATTTCAAACTTTGTGCAAAAACTAAAAAGAAATCAACAAACTTTCACCAAAACTTCAATTCATTTATAGATACAAGTACTTAAATTTGATTACAAGAAAAACAACGTTATTTACTGTTACAAGAAGGTGACGTGCAATAATGTCAATGGAATTAATGTCACTGACATTAATACTGACAGAATTGAACTCTGTTGCAAGTTCACATGGGAAATCTTCTTGTGACGGGATTGGAGGAAATTTTATGCGACTAGCAGCAACCCACTTATATTATATATGTATATCTCAAAAACTACTCGACCGATCTCAACCAAATTTGGTACACATTGCGCGTAAGCTTCTTAAGCGCCATATTGAAAATTTTTGAAATCTATGAAAACCGTTTTGTTAACGAAGCTTTAATTTAGCTTTATTATTATTTCGTTGATCATCGATATATATAGCAATTTGAAATTCGGTGCTAAATGACGAAGTTACAAAGGAGACTCGATTTTGGCTGTTTTTAGGACTCGCTAAAGACGAAAATTTTTGTCACCTCAAAATCTTCTCAAAGTAAGCTTTCAAACTAAGGGGGTTATTGCAAAGTTTTTTATATGGTATGGGGACCGACCCGGTCTAGTGTGCATCTCTAACCACATGTTCACGGCGCCCACAGACTAAAGCAGAGGTGTATTTAATTCAGTCTTCTCTTCCTATTGAGGCATTCAAGTGTTGTTTTATTTCTTTGTAACATTTTATTTTCATCTATTTACCTTTCCATTTCTTTCCCAGGCACATGAAATTGGATGGAAAATGGCGAAAAATCGTGTTCTCCACACAATCAATTTGTAACAATTATCAATGCTTGTCACATCGCAGCCTAACGACATATAAAATCAGCCATTGATTTCCCATTGCTACCGCCCACTCTGCGAGCAATTCTCGTGACGAGTTTCGAAGTGCTTCTCATTCAAATGGCAAACAAAGCCGAATACGATACGATTACATAAACAGCCCCGAAATGCTGCACAATCAGAGTACGTTGCCAACGCTCAGTCCAGCGGCGCCAATAATGGTGGCACTTTCGACGTCCTTAGTTGTACGCCCAACAATGGCAGTGCTGCCAGCGCTCTGTCCACCCGACTGGACCATCAGTAACACCTATGACTGTATTAATGGAACCGTGGATAATGGCATGGGAGTAGCAGGCACAAGCGCGAGTTTCACCGGCCTGCCGGGGCAAGATGGCATGACGCATGGGGACGTCAATTTCACGTTTCCCCCTGACAATCTGTTGGATTTCGAAATCGACCCATTAGAGCGCGTTGTGTCAACCATTGTGCCCGTGTTTTTCGGCATCATCGGGCTTGCTGGTCTACTGGGGAATGCACTCGTCATTTTGGGTGAGTTGATGAAAAACGGGGAGAATTAAATATTTGCTTAAGGGGGTATTGAGTAAAAGTGTAGTTCTACATGTACAAGCGTTTATACATACATATGTACATATGTTTTAACCCTTTCAGGATTATTACTAAATTGGTAATTTGAATTTAGAGATATGATGTAAGAAGAAAAACAAATTCATATTTTACGTTGTCTTGCATATTGTTCCTTTGGTAAGTTTTTTTGTTTTAAATTTTGGAAAAAAATATATATTTTTACCCAAAAAAATTATTTACTCCTAAAATCCCTAAAAAATTATTTCTTCTCAAAAGAGAATTTTTTCCCTAACAAACATATATATATATTATTTTACCATTTTCCAAAACACAAAATTATGATGGAAATTAAGAAAACTAAAAGAAAATGTTATTCTAAAAAATAAATGGTTCCTCCTAAAAAATATTTATTACTTAAAAATATTTTTTTGATTTATTATTTTTGTTGAATAATTTTTTTGTGAATATTAATTTGAGCGCAAGTTTTTCCCAAAAAGAAAACAATTACAAACATTATGCACATACATATACACTGAGGAAAAAATCAACCAAAAATTGGTTAATATTACCAAATTTAAACTGAAAAGGAATCAAAGTGATTTTTGGTTAATATTAACAATGACTTGGTTGATGTTTTCAACAATGATTTTATAATACAAACCACACCTTTATATTAACCAAACTTTTGGTTGTCGATATTTTAGTTTGAATACGCAATTTTTCTACGATTCACAGATGCTTTTTCATAATTCGGAGATACAAAACAAAAATTTTTTATTATCATTTTAACAAGTTAACTCTGACGATATTTGAAACCGCATCTTTTGCATCTGAGCAAATAACAGTAAGCATATCTGCACACTCAGCTTTAAAAACCTGCCCTCAAATGTTCAACTTGAATCAATTTTCTTCGTCGTTTGATTTGGTTCTGCACTTCACAGAGGCTTCTTCCTAATTAAAAAAACAAAACGGAAAAAATATGTATCGTGCTGATGGCATTCGTACTGCTGGAATCCAACAAATAACAGCAAGCACCTCTGCACGTTCAGCCGCTTGAATCACATTTCTTACAATCGGCTTATTAAACATGAAAGAATCAACCCATAACTTGGTTGAAAAAACCATTGTGTTTTTGGCTCAGTGTAGATTCATAGTGCATAAAAATAAGGAAAATTTCAATTCTTATTGTTTTCGAAACAAATTTATCTCAAGACAGTAATTTTTTTCTAATAAATGGTGTTATAGATTTAATAAAAATTCATATTATTAGGGTTTGGGAGCAAAAGTTTTTTGTCATCGCTCCGAGCTCCGCTCTTGCACCACTCCGGCTCCCAATAAACAACTGTTTTATTTATTTATTTATGTACATATCGAGCCCTTACCGCCAAAAGCTCAGGCGAGATTTCTTTTTTTGATGCAGAAATGCATCTAGATATACATATGTGTACACTTCAGCATCCAAGAAGAAACTAAAAAAATTTCCAAGTTAAATAAGTAGAATGGATTTTTTTTTATTGAGTTTGAGGGCGTTATTATTAAAAAATTTTTGGAAAAACAGCTGTAAAAATATTTCAAAACAAATCGTTACTAGGCCAGAAAGTAACAAAAACAAAATATTGAAAGTTTTTTTAAGGAGCCAAAGAGCAAATTATTTTTTTTAGCTCTTTTCTCCAGCTCTGCTCCAGCTAAAGTCCTTTGCTTCTTAGCTCCCTGCTCCCTTGCTCCACTCCGCTCCGACGCGCCCCGCATATTATTTCTTAAAAAATATATTTCCTAAAATCCCCGATAAAACTTATTTTTCGAAAAAATTGGTGGAAATATATTTCAGCAATTTTTTGCAATTTTATTTTTAAGTATTTTTCCTAAGGTTTTAAGATAAAATTATAAAAACAAAACCGCCAAAATGAATTCAATATCTTAAGGAATGCAGAACTTTTTTGGAAACACACATCCCTTGGTCGCGAAGGGGTTAATGATTGAGTAGATGATGTTGATTGCGTGTCGTGAAAACATATTGCATAAAATGATTCCGTAAACAAATGACCAAGCAAACACATCTGCTTAATGGTTGTGCGGCGACGAGCTGAACATTTAGGCCAGTATTGAGAACAAAAGGGTGGATTATTGTCAGAAAAATTATATTTTCCTTGATGGTGTCATTACGGTTAAATAAAGCGATTTACTTAGTTATCGGCTTTATAGGCAATGTTGGTTAAAAGTTTATTCAATACTCGTACAACGCAACGTTGGCCGTTTACATTTCATTTATTTTCCTCCTCAGTATCGCAGGCTGTAAGTAATCTGAATACCATTTAAATAAAAATCTCCGCTGTGGTTCTCATAAAATAATTTAGAGCTATCGCATCGATCAATACAATAGCACCCCCATTTCAAAGTGATATTGTCTAAAATGCATTTATTATGTTAAAATACAGTTCATTCTCTAAAAAAACCAAATAAACCTAAGTGAAAAATTTTCTAGAAAACTCCAAAAGGAAACAAATTTTCAACCAAAATTTCAAACTTCTTTTTCCACAAAAGCTAGGGCCGATGGTGCTGCCGTTTTCTTCCATATACAAATAAATTGTGTTTTTTCGTTATATGGAAGCAAATGCGACAAGAAAAAGTTCTAAAAAATCAACGGTAATTTGTAACCACTTGAAACTTGCACATTATCAGACTGAAATGGAATGGGCTATGCAACTGTGTACTCAAAAAAATTCTAGCACTTCTGAGAAAAAAGGTTGAAATTTGGGTGAAAATTTGCTGCATTTTTTTGTAGTCTTTTACAAAGTTTAGACTTAAAAAAATAATTAAACTTAATTTCCAATCAATATCACTTTATTACTTTGAAATAGGGGTGCTATTTATATGACCGATACTGTATGTATTAGATCATTATCTCTTCTAAAGAAACAGTTGATACGACACAATGCAATATTCATCGCAATCTGGATGTTAATGTTGACTCAGTATTAAAATAATTTTTATCTATACCTCGGTGAACTGACTTTACATAAGACCCTCCCTAAAGAGAAATCCTGCTTCCGGCCCTACCCTGCACTATGTACAAAAAGACAGAAAATCGTATGTGTAGGGTTTTTAGATGATCTATGCGCAGCTGCTAAGTTTGGAATACAGCAGTTGCTAAGGTTCGTAGACTCTCCGAATTGGTTCACAATGTATCATAACGTATCACAATGGCTACCTGACTGTCACTTCAACCCAATCTAACCTAACCTAGTTTATATATAAGTAGTTTTTATACCCGAGCGAACTTGTGCACAAGGGTATTATAACTTTGTTCACATAACGGTTGTTTGTAATAGCCAAAACGAATGATCAGAACTGTGCCAAGTTTGGGAGAAATTTGTGAAGCGATTAGTAAGATATACACATGATATCATAAGAGGGCGTGCCTACGCCCATTTTCCAGAAAATTTTAATATTCTTAATTGACGTCTAAAAATCGTAAATATCAATTTTCAGTGAATAAGCTCCAGTATTTACTAAAATATCGCAGATATTCATCTCAAAGAGTTAAAGCCGTACATCCGACTATGCCTCGGGCATACAGTACTAACTCATGCACACTTGCTACAGCGATTAACACCCAACGTTCATCATCTTCAAGAAATTCATTCTTCCCACTGTCGAACCTCTAAAGGAACCATCGAAAGTCAACATAACAACAATATACAACTTTCTCAGAACCAATGACCTGCTAAGATTTAAATAATATTTAGCTTTCTAATCCTAGTCCTAAGTTCTGATAAACCAATATTCATGACAAGAGACAGCCGATGGCCTATGATGCTAGTGCTGCTAATTTTAGACTTTATATATTAACTTGTTACTATATAAAAAGGAAAATAAATAAATAATAAATAAAATAAATAAATATCTGAAGAGTCTCATGGTGGCCGCTGTAGTCGAAGGACTAGAAGTGCGTTCTACCACTCTGAATGGCATGGTTTCGAGCCCTAGTCTAAGCCCTGAATAAGCTTCACATAAAATCCATTTGGGAGGCGGCATAAAACTGTAGATCCTGCCATTTGTGTAACAACATTAAGATGCACACCCCAAATTGGAGTAGAAGCTCAGCGAAACACTTAGCAAAAGTGTAAGCACCAAAATATTATTATTATTATTATTAAATATCTGAAGAAACATGCAAGAATATTTTCAAACCCCTCAGAGAGCATTTTTCACGAAAGTGCTCATGAGAAAAAAATATTCAAATGTTTTCCAAACATTTTTGGCCTTTTCACACCCTTGTATTAGCAGTCAAAACCTTAATTTTCGCCGAAAGTGTTATTAACTTTTATTTATATCGTCGCTTGGCGCGCATTACCTCGTATCCGCCAAATGCAATACCACGTATCAGGCAGTCCGGAAATATCGCAAAAGAGCGAAGAAATTATAATTAAATGTTGGTTCTATTTCAGAAGGGTACAAACCATCCAAACGTTTTGAAGAAAATAAATTCCTTCGCTCTTTTGTGATGTTTTCGAATGATCCCACGTATTGCGTTTTGCGGATACGAGGTATTACGCGCCAAGCAACGATATATATACATAAAAGTTAATACTTTGTCACACTAAAAAAAAAATATTTGGTTTTAGTGATTTCAGCAATCGTTTCTGAAAATATGTTCGCAATAAAGCTTTTCTAAACTTCTCTTATTAGACACCCATATTCAAGTCTCTTATATGACTTGATATTTAATTATATTCTGAATTTGTAACCAGGTGGCAAACCCCTTAAAAGCTATCATTTTAATATCAGATTCTTAATCAGCACAACGAAAAACTTCTACATAATGAGATATTTTCATGTTTTAAGTTTAACATATTTTATCGCATTTTAGCGACTCTGCCACACTGTGCGCCAGCGGCAGCGGCCATTACGTTGTATATGCAATTTAATGTTATAAGCACTAATAAAGNGCAGCGGCCATTACG